AACTCTAAAGTAGGTCACTGGTACTTTTTTCACAGATGCATGAGAATAATAAAGGCACATAACTTGGCCACATTTATCACTTTTGCAGTAATGTGACCACATTGTCTTCACACAACTGACTGAAGTGAGAAGTAGCAGAGGAGAAGCTTGAATTCAGACAAATGTACTCTGGAGGTCATGAAGTCACTCACTAACCCACCCTGCAGCTCCACCCCGACTTTTCCAACCTGTCCTCCTTCATGAGCTCCTTTCTATCAGAATTTTCACTTGGTTAAACTTGTCACATTGCAACAACTCTAGGAAACTTCTAGAAGCATCTATTTCAGGCAGAAGTGATAACATCATTCCCCTTCTTGCACGCATCCATGGTGACACCATCTTGTTCTGCAGGAGAGCAGGCTTTTGTCTCACCTTAATGAACTCCACCATCTGGCTGTACTCTGCTGTAACCATAACCTGGTTCCATGGAGCAAATTAGCAAAAGGCTTTCTTTTCTGGTTTTGTTCTCAGCAGGTAGGAAGTCATTCAAAATACTGGTGTTTTCACTGCATGATACTTTAAAGGCATCTCTCAGAACATTGTCATAATAATATCTATGTCTATGACCTTAGAATGTGGGGATACCTCCAGAGTCATACAGTGTAAAATTCATACACCCAGAGGAAGGGCCCAGCAGCTTCATGATAACTCATAAGTATGCAGATAGGAAAATGAAAAAGCCTCTAACCTTTGTGAGTACCCAGTCAGAGGCCATGGGGTAGGAATCCTAGCACTGTGGGAGACTGAGGCAGAAGGATCACATGCTCAGCATAGCCTGGGAAACTTAGTGATTTAGCAAGAACCTGTCTCAAAGTTTAAAAAATTTTAAAAGACCTGGGAATACAGTTCAGTGTGAAGGGCCCAGCTTCAATCCTCAGTACCATACCCGCACATGCACACAGACACAGACACACACACACACACACACACACACACACACACACACACACGTGCACACACACACACAGAATATCAATGTTGATAATAGGGCTGACCTCTACTTACTGCCCACAAGGTGTGAGGAAAAGACTCTATGGCACTGACATTCCCTTGTCAGAGTCTCTTCAGAGCAAGAATATTTTTCTCTTTGGTCAAGTGATTGGCCAGGCCTAGGAAATGTAATCTATATGGTACAGAAAAGCTGTACTTTTAACCATCAGAACCCACTTTCAGAACAGGAAAGAAGACAGCATACACCTTGACCTTTCACCTTCCAAAACCATATTCCAGACTATCCAGCTCTGGGAAAAACCATCTTCTTCCTCAAGAGGAGCCTAACCTGTTGGTTTTCCTGTCTCTTATGTTGGAGATGTGAATTCTCAGAAAAAGTCTTACTTGGGTTTCTATTTTGTTTTCCATTCTTGGAGTGGGGAAGTGATGATCAGTAAACAGCCTCTCATAATGAAGATGATTTTCCATGATCTTCTATGACTAAGCAGCTCAAGCAAAGACTGACCTGTTGAGTCATGTCTATGGCACATAGTTCCATAGGGGAGAGTTATATTTGATCTTTGACTTCCTTTTTTGTCATGGAAACCTACCCATGCTGAGCGGCACATGCCTTGATTAGGATATAACTTCTGTGACATTGACTCATGCCTTATAGTGGATGGCTTAATTTTTAAATCATGTGACAAACACATCTTAGAAAATCTGTCTAATAAAGAGAAATTCTGTATATTCAGCATCAGTGGCTGAAACCCTTGAACCCAAGGCATAGTTCCATAGATGCTGGGACTCCAGATTCTTCTTAGAATCAGCTGGAGGCTTCCTCCAAATTTAGGTTCCTGGGCTCAGCAATGCAATTTTGTGTCATCCAGTTTGCAGTGGGGTCCCGAGAATCTTCATTTTTAAATATCACTCGGCTGATCTTGATATAGAAGAGAATTTGAGGATGCCTAGGGCTCCGTGTGGTTGACCATGGGAACAGCCTCAGTATGGGTCAGCCTATTCTTGAGAATACCTCTGACAGCATTCTTCAGTCTTCCTCACAGGTTGCATCTGCATCTCAGAATCATTCAAGGTCCATAATTATGCTTTCTGTTTGTGCTCAACACTGAATTCAGGGTTTGGGAAAGCAGGGGTGGTGCTTGAACTTGAAAAGTCTTGGAAGTCAGACCCTATACAAATCTAGCACAGAACCTAAAGTACAATTCCATACACAGAGTATCCCAGTATTCATAGATATTGATTCTGCAGCCTCTGTGGATACCAAAACCTGTGGATTCTGAAGTCCTTTACATAAAATGGTACAGTATTTGTGTATGACCTATGCAACTCTCTCATATATTTTCACATCATCACCGACATATTTGCATTAAGTCATACTTAAAATATATAATATGATGTATATACTAGATAAATAGTTTTCATATTGTATTCTTATGTAACAATAAGAAAAAAGTCGGTACATGTTCATAATAGGTGCAAGTTTTAAAATATCTCAATCCATAGTCCGTTGACTCTGTAGATGTAGAGATCACAAATGCGGAAGTTCAATGTGGAGTAAATATACATAAGAAAGGGACAAAGAAAGTGAAAGAAATAGCAGCAATCCCTTTGCAAAACCAGGTGTGGTGGCACATGCCTGTATTCCCAGCATTTGGGAGCCTGAGGCAGGAGGATCTTTGCGAGTTTGAGTCCAGCCAGGGCTACAAAAAGAGCTTAAGTGCAGCATGAACTATATAGAAAGACCCTGTCTCAAAAAGGCAAAAACAAAACAAAAAAAATCTTGTTTATACTATTATGAAGCATGCTGGTGAGTTCTTGGGTGCAGAAGGGATTTTTCTGATTTAGATCCATTTCCTGGTCCACAGACCCTTTGTTTTGTGGTGTTTCTCCTCAGATGAGCCCCTCCAACTTAGTTACTCACTGTAACCCCTGTCGTCCCTCTGTCTACATTTTGCTTCCCTCTGCCAGCTCTTCAGAGGGCTGACCTTTTCCCTTGGTTTCATAGTCAGTTTTGAACACCACTGAGCAAGATACTTCCAAAGGAGCCTGGGTGCAGATGGCTTTGCCCCTCTGCCTTAGGAGCATCAAGAACTGCAGCCCACTGGTGCCTGCATCCCCATGCCAGTACTGCATCTGTGAAGGATAACAGATGAATGGATATGATACCTCGTGGGTATTCTTTTACCAGCTGATGGTAAAAGAAAAGGCAACTGGGTTGGGGGTTTAGCTCAGCGGCATGGGTGCCTGCCTTGCAAGTGTGCGGTTGTGAGTTCAATCCCTGGTACCAATAAAAAGGAAAAAGACAAAAAAAAAGGCAACTACATTTATTGAAGATGATGGGAAGATGTGTTCAGGGCAGGTCCAAACAGAAACACGGTGTCAGGATGGTGGGGAAATCAAAGCACAGTGCCCACACATAAACCAGGCTTTCAGATTTTAAAGGATGAACACCCCAGCCTTAGTGTTTCTCACTGGGTCTCTAGATAAGATTGACAGGAATGATTGACATGGTGCTGAGTCACCTTCAGGGACATTCAACATGTGCACACTCACACCTGTTCGGGTTCACTCCAAGAGGGACCAGATGAGCCTCTGAACTCCAGAGTAAGGATGTGAACATATACAGTGTCCATCTTTCTCTTTTAGAAAAGTAGCATTATCGGGGCTGGGGATTTAGCTCAGCGGCATAAGTGCCTGCGTTGCAAGCAGGCAGTCGTGAGTTCGATCCCTGGTACCGATAAAAACAAACAAAAAAAAAGAAAAGTAGCATTATCATATGATGAAGTCATTCCAGTCTACTGGAGGATGAAAGGACACCCAGAGGAAAACCATGGCTGCCAGCCACCAGCCAGTCCCAACTGCCAGTCATGTGGTTGAGACCACCTAGGGCCCTCTAGTCCAGTGGATCTTGTAGCTGAATGTGAGTGTGCCTGGCATAGGAGCAGAGGACCCAGCCAGGATCCTGGCCCACAGGATCATGGCAAAGGAGATTTTAATGCTTTAAGTTTGGGGCAGGCTTGTTATGTGGCAATATCTGGCTGCAGATGCTATGCAAATTGGGAGTCTAGAAATTCCTCCACTCCTCTTTCTGGTTGGATTCTTGTGGAGAGTGAGGAAAAAAGCATGCTAAATAAAAAATAGTCCAGACATGATGGCACACACCTGTAATCCCAGCACTCTTGGAGGCTGAGAAACAGGAGGATCACAAGCTTTTACCCAGCCAGGGAAATTTGGTAATTTAGATAAGTGGATAAAGAAAATATATTTACCCATGATGGAGTAATGCTCTGTCATAAAGAAGGATAAACCTGAGTCATTTAAAGAAAAAGGGATGCACCTTAAGACCATAATGTTCAGTGAAATAAATAAGACACACAAGCTTGAATGTTGCATGGTTTCTAAGAATAATCTATAATATAAGCAAAGAGCAAAATAAAAGATCATAGGAAATATGGAGATAGATCATTCTCAGGAAGGGGATCAAAAGATGGAGGGGGGAAACAGGTAAGGAGAAGGGAACGAAAAACGGATTAAGATGTGTTAAGTGTATGTATCGACTCCCCACAAGGAATGTCATCACTATATACTGCAAACAGGAAGTAATGTTTAAAATTTTAAAAATGTTTAAAAGGACTGGGAGTGTCTTTAATATAGAAAGGATAGAAATACATGTTAAGACTCATGCATGTGTAAAATCTATAAACAGTTTATGAGAACTGATCTTATGACACATGATGAAATGAACAGATATTTTGAAGAAAAAGAGACACTACAGTACCCAGTGCTGATACTGGAGTGTTATAATGTGAAACCCAGCAATAGTATTATTCTTTGTGCAGAGTGATACTAGCCTGCTTGGGTTTGTTCAATCTCAACATAATTGAAGATATGTATAGCTGCATGTATGTTTAAGTGTATAGGATTGATAACCATATTTCTAAGTTTTTGTTGGGTAGTTGAACAGATCTGGTTGCAGTCTCACTGTTTGAATCCCACTTTATATGCTCCACTTTAATATCTTGAATAACTATTTGTAAGAGGACAATCTGTAATCATCAACTAGTGATTTCTTACTGTTTATTTTTTTCTTTGAAAGTATGTATTATTTCTACTCATTTTCTGTTTTGTTTAGTCTTTCTTTAAATAAAATTTAAAACTTCTGGGAGAACATGGTGGATAGATAACAGCAGCTACAGAGGCTCTCTGAGACAGCCAGGTTAGATTCCAGGAATGGTGTGGTGTGGGGAGCCCTAAGCAGGGGGAAATATACCCACTCAGGACCCATACCATCTGTTGGGAATCACGAATGTTGAAATAGATGGGAAGCTCTCGAGCTGTCAAGTAAACAAAAAACAAAACACAGATGGATTTATAATTAACTTTCAGACTTTCTTTTTTTCTTCTTTTTTTATTTTAAAGAGAATAAAACAAAACAATACATAACAGAACAAAGCAGATCAGAACAAAACAATGCAAGCAACATAAGATTTCAAAACAAGAAATAGGAAATCAACAGTGGCTACCATAATGTCTCTTGTTTTCTTCAAAATAGTCCATATCTTCACACACAATGAATTCGAACTGTATAAGTTTGGCACTTCGCTTGGAACCTGTTAGGGCCCCACACAGTGTCCTCAAACCGCTGGGCAGCTTTGGTGCGCTGTGTGGCAGGAGCTGAACTTTCAGACTTTCAGCTTAAAAATTCTTTGGGTAGAATTACCGCGCTAAGAACATTTGGCTAGGAGAATAAAGAAAAGGAAATAAGGCAAGGCTGATTTGTAGATGAAAACCCTAGAAAGGATCTAAACACATTTGCTGTCCTAAGAGATTTTCAAGATTTGCTTTTTTTTTCTGGAGGTTGTATTTTTCCCCCTTGATCAATAGTGAAAATATATCAACAACGGCACAACTATTTAAGTTGCTCACTAGTATATTGGGTTTTTAAAAATATCTTCAATCAGACAAACAAGCAAATCTAAATATAGATAGTTACAAAATAATTAAATGCCCCACGATTTTCTAACACAAATTTCTGAGAACTTCAGCCAGACCTCCTAAAACACTTACAGAAGAAGAAATGGGGCCCTTGTCCCATACTCTTTGGTGAGGTGGAATACAGCTAGTTCCAAGGTGAGTCATGGTTCACCACTTATGAGGATCCATGTGACTCATCTGACTTCAGGGTTTTCTGTGCGAAGGACGAGGTATACCAGAGGAAAAGAATAGGGCAGCAGCAGCTGTTCATGGATGGAAGAAAAACATGCTATCCGTTTAACTCCCCTGCCCTGGAATTTTCTTTTAAACTTTAGAGAAAGCTTCCCCGAAATCCAGTCCTGTATCCATATTATTAAATTCCTTTTTTTAAGATAAAAGACTTGCTTATACAGATAAACTGATTTCATTTTGGCAGATTCAAAAATGCACACAACCGTGTTCCCTCCATTTGCCTCTTGCCATCCCCTCTGCACTAGTTTCACAGGAGAGTGGAAGGTTCAATGTACACAATGTAATTTGCTCCGATCCACCCCTTATTATCTGTCCTTACACCCTTTCTTATTGACAATAATAAGCTCACGTTCAGATTTTAAAGGAAAGATAGGAAGAGCATATTTCAAGGTCAGCAAACCTGGAATGGAATGGAAGCTCCCATCTCAGTGTTGGCAAGGATGGTCCTAGTTCTCCAGATGTAATGGCTTTGGATGTCATTCATCATTGCATCTGAGAGGGTTAGGAGATTCCATAGCATCCCCCCAGGGCCCTCCAGAGCAGTAAGCCTCTGAGTTCAGAGGAAAGGAAGTAGTGGGCAGTGTGTGTCTATCACTGTTCTGGCCCTCTTCACAGCTGGTAGTCAGTTTTCTCAACTTCACATTGGATACTCTTACGTAACTGACAGAAAGTCAGCCTCTGTAACCTGCTTCTCCATCCAAAGAAGCATCTCTAAAGATCCTGTACATCACAATCCTCAGTCTCATCAGGTTTTCTGACCATCAAAGGACATCTGGGTTTGTAGATAAAGGCACCAGCTTAGATTCCTATGAAAAATACAGATGCCAGTGATAATTCATTGGTCAAAATCCTCTCTGCTTCAGGATTACCTGAATCAGGGGCTGTCTTTGAAAGTGACTAAACAAATCGTCATCTGGAATTCTTGGAAATAGTTTCAGGTACCTTGGACCAAGAACTTTAGATCTTCTTAAGGCCCAGATATACAGTGGCGAAAGAAGTCCCCCAGCACATGATTTCTGAGCAGCAGTGATTACCTGTCTCCTGAAGTGTTCTTCTTCCTGGGTTCAGAGACTCAGCTCTAGTCAGATCTACGTCCTCTGGGATGCTGGCTTCAGACTCATTGGTTTTTAATGAGCAAGGAAGGAGCCCTACACCCTGGCTGTGGGTGTGCCCACTTTGGCAAGGAAGCTGGGCTGACCAGCGGTGCTGGAAGGCTTTGGACAGATGGAAGCAAGCACCACAGGTGTGGTTGTTTGGGACTTATTTAAAGCAAGAGCAGAGCAAACACCAGCAGAAAGCAATGAGGCCATCTGCTGAGTTAAAGAGTAATTGGAGGCAGAGGTTTGGCTTGCTTGACTCACTGAATAACAAGGTCATAACCCGTTCACATCTGATCTCTGCAAATCACAGCACTCATCTCAAATGTTTTACATACTTTGTGTGTAATATGTATAAACTTATATTGCACAAGTCTGGAGAGCTTGGTCTGATTCTGATAAGGTTCTAAGTGCTTTATGTGAGTAAGCTCCTAATCTTTTAGGACCCATTATTATTTATTTCTTACATAAGAAGACAGAGGCCTTGAGAGATAAAGAAGTTTACCCAGTTACTCAGCTTCTAGGAAACCTAGTCAAGATGGGGGCCAAGTGTCTCCAGGGATAGCAGCTATGTGGCTTTCCTCTGAATTTTGGTCTCTGGCCTCCCACACTGTAACCAGCTCCCTATAGCTCCCATGTCCTCTTTTGGGAGCAAAGATGATTGAAACTGACTGAAGAACATTCAGCAAGCCTCAAGGAATAATTCAGTATATGTTTCATAGGACAAATAAAAGGAAGAGCTCCTTTCCGGTTGGACAGGTGTTTCATAAGGTGAGCACTGTAGATATTTCAGCCTTTTTATACAGTTCTTGATGGGAATGAAAATGATAACACAAGCGTGCTCCTACTTGCAGGCAGACCTTTGATGTCTGGAAAGCAAGCTGTAGTGTTTGCATTTTACTTCTTCCAATGTCTCTCCCTTTTGTTTAGATACCTGTTCTATGTCTCTTACAATTCATTAGGCCCCGATAGTCTGCTTGCTCAAGTTAATTACTTGAGTCCTTTAGTATGTTAAATCACTTAAGTCCTGAATTTTAGTTTATTCCAGGTTAACCGTTTAGGACCCGTGCCTCATCTGCCTAACTTCCCTTATCCCCTTGTTTTATTCTTCCCTCCACAACAGTGACACTGACTGTGTAGGATGCACAGGCAATGAAGTGTCTCCTGAAATATTTCCTGCTCAGAGAGGGCACTGTTGAGGAGAAGCAGCCAGAGCTTACTCCTGTGAGGTTCATCTCGAGGTCCTAATTAGAGGCTAGCAAGAGTACAAGTTCATAGCCTGTCTGCATCACCACTTGTAGCTTTCAAGATGTCAAATGAGAAGAAACAAAATTAACTTAGAGGTTGTGGAAACATGATCCAAATAGCAACTCTACAAGCGATAATGATAGCCTTATTATGGGGGAGTAATGAGGATGTCTATTTTAGATCCTTGTACAGATCCCCATGGTGGGGATAGTTTTTAGTGATCTTTGAAGCACAGTTGGCTAGTTTTTATGTTATAGTGCTCATTATTTCAGATTGACTGGCATAAAAACAGCATTTTCTTCTAGGAATGGATATAATTTCCCTCTTTTGACAGTAAAGAGGAATCTATAAGTTTGTTTTTTTAAAAAAATATTTTTATCTGATGTAACTTATTTAAAGATAGCATTTTATTTATATACTTATAATTTTTATACTGAAAAAATGGAGGTCTTCTGTTTTTGAAGGACAGTCTTAGCTAAATAAGTAAAAGAATGTTGTTGGATTTTATAGTTATTATTGTGGCTTTTTTTAGACTGTCAGCAAGAGCCAGTAGATAGGATTTGGAACTATTTAACTTATTTATCCTAAGTTACTATTAATATTTCTGTATATCTCATTACTCATAGTTTCTTGCTGGACTTTTTATTTTTAAACAGAGTCTCACTGTATAGTTTGGGCTGGCTTTGAACTCAGTATGCAACCCAGACTAGCCTCCAACTTGTCTTGCTAGATGTTTAAGACCAAGTTTAAGTGAGACCTATATGAAACAGAATTAACCTCTTGTATTTAACATCAGTCAAGGCTGCCCAGGCTTACTTTTGGAACTATGTACAGAGTCTCTTAGCTTTACTTCCAATGTCATCTTTCAGGATGAGTAACAGTCTTGCTTGACCATATGGCTTGGCAGGATGGGAGGTGCTTTTTCTCTGGTGACTCTCCTTTTAACACAATGTAGGTCAGTTGACTCCTGTCTTCTGTGGTCTAACAATCTCCCTGCTCAGACAATTGGGTGACTCAGCAAACTGATGGGATCCTGCAGAGATGTTTTCTCATGTCCTGAGTCCTTGCTGACTGAAGAGGGCTAGGACCAAAATGTTGGATGCTCCTTTAACCCAGTTACATATTTAGCTTTGGTCTTAGAGGCCTAGTTGTCAAGAATATCAGTTACACAAGCATTGAAGTGAGAGCAACAATTGCTTTAGAAGTCAAAATTTTTTTTCATTTTGAAGAGGAAAAAACCCAAGCAAAATAAAACAGAATAGAGTAAATCAGAACAAGACAATGAATGTCACACAGGACTTCAAGGCAAGATAAAAGGAAATCAATAATAGCTACCATAATGCTCTTGTTATCTTCAAAATAACTGCACATATCATCAGACATAATAAAATCAAACAAAACAGAACAGAATAAAACCAATCAAAACAAAACAAAGAGAGCAAAAAAAACACAAGATAATAGGAAAACAACAATGGTTACCATAATGCTTCTTTTTATCTTCAAAGTAGTTGCCTATACCATCAGATATAATAAAATCAAACAAAACAAAATAGGATAAGATCAATCAAAACAAAGCAATACAGGGCTTCGAAACAAGGTAATTAGGAAATCGATAATGGCTACCATAATGTATTTTGTTATATTTGAAACAGCTGCACACGCCATCAAATATAATAAACAATTAAATATTTCAGATTATGAAACAGATTCAAAAAGGTATCCAAGAAATTAAAAACCCCATCAAAAGCTGGCAAAACCAATTGAAACAAACTGAAGATAGACTTTCATCCTTGAAGACAGGTTTGCAGCTAATGATCATGAAACAAAAAATTTCTTAAATATAACAAGGAACTAGGCAATAACAATTCAATAACTGCAAGATGGTGCAAAGAAAAATAATTTAATAATAATAGGTGTCAGTGGAAAAAAAAGGGTCAACACAAATGACATAAAAAATCTATTTACAGAAGTAATAGCAAAACCTTTCCAAACATGTGAAAGGTACATGAACTACAGATAAGTGAAGCATATAGAACTCCAGCTAGCCATAACCAAAATAAATCTACATCTAGACATATAATAATCAAAATCTCAGAAATTCAGCGAAAGAACAGAATATTAAAAGCTGTTAGAGACAAGAAACAGATCACCTATAACGGAAAACCCATCAGAATCACAACAGACAACACAAACCATCACATAAAGAAAAGGTTGGAATGAAGTACTTCAAATCCTGAAAGCAAACAACTTCCAACCCAAATTGGTATACTCTGCAAAACTTTCTTTTGAAATTAATGGAGAATAAAATACTTCTATGACAAAGAACAACTGAAGGAACTTGTGATCACCAAACCAACACTAAAAAGTACTGAAAGACATTCTAGAGAGAGATAAAAGTAACCACGGTTCCAAGAACAGTGGTAGAGGGGACAGACAATCAAATGGAGGGGAAAGTAGGCAGCCAACAGCAGGATAAAAGCATGGCAGAGATGAGCCAGTGAATGTTGGTCATAACTACATAATTAATGTAGATGGCCTCAATTTACCATGTTTATAGCAGCACAATTTGTAATAGCCAGATCTTGGAAACAGCCTAAGTGTCCATCAACTGAGAAATGGATAAAAAAAATTGTGGTATTTTTATACAATGGAGTACTACTCAGCTATAAAGAATGACCACATTGAGATATTTATAAATAAATGGACACAACTTGAGACCATACTCATAAGCAAAATAAATCAAACTCACGTGTATAAATACCGTATAGTCTCCCTAGTGTAAGAAATGATAAGAATACATAAGATTTTATGGTAATCATGATTCCCCACTACATTTCTTTGAAGCCCTATAATGTTTTCATTCATTAGTTGGAATGGTTTTATTCTGTTTTGTATGATTTTATTATGTGTAATGGTATGAACAGCTATTTTGAAGAAAACAAGACATCATGGCAGCCATTGTTAATTTAATATCACCTTGCTTTGAAGTCTTACCGTGTGTTTGTTCTTCTGTTTCCATTGATTCTATCATATTTTGTCTTACTGGGTTTTAATATGTGTGATAGTATAAACAAAATCTTTTATGGAAAATGAGATAATATAGTAGCCATTGTTCATTTTCTGTTATTTGGTTCTGAATGCCCTGTAATACTTTCATTCTCTTAATAGTTTTATACTATTTTGTTATGTTTGATACTACTGTATGTGAAGGTATGCTCAACTATTTCAAAGAAAGAGACATTATGGTAGCTACTGTTAATATCTGGTTGTCTTGTGGTGAAGTGCTGTGTTGCTAACATTGTTCTGTTCTAATCTGCTTGGTTCTGCCCTCTTTTGTCTTAATCTCTTTAAAATAAAAATAAAAAATTTTTTAAAACTTTTTTTGAAATTAATGGAGAAATAAGACACTTCTATGATGAAGAACAACTGAAGGAACTTGTGATCACCAAACCAACACTAAAAAGAGTACTAAAAGACCATCTAGAGAGAGAGAAAAATGACATGGTTCCAAGAACAGTGGCAGAAGGGAATCACTGAGTTGGGCAAACAATCAAATGGAGGGGAAAAGTAGGGAGCAAACAGAAGGAAAATAGTATGGCTGAGAGGAGCCAGTGCATGTTGGCCATAACTATTAATGCAGATGACCTCAACTTACCAGTAAGAAGACGCAGGAAGAATGGATCAGTAGACAAGATCCATTAGTATGCTTTATACAAGAAACACACTTAGCTCAAAAGAAAATCCATTGACTGAAAGTCAAAGGAGAGAAAACAGTGCTCTAGGTGACAGGGAACCAGAAAAAAATAGGGGTAACTTGCCCACCAACTGCAGAATGGATAAGAAAGATATGGCATTTTTTATGTAATTAAAAGCTACTCAGCTTTAAAGAAAGATAA